GCAGGGACGGCATTGGTGACGGTTCTGGGTTCAGCTGGGGAGAGGGAAGCGGTGAAAAAATGGCCAAGCTTCCCAAAGATGTGGTGGGGTGAGCTTGGAGAGGGAGGCCGAGCTGAAATGCCTCTTCCCTGGTGTGTTTTCCCGTCCAGTTGAGTTAATCCAGTGCGAGGAGGGATGCGTCGGGCGGCTGGTGCGCTGCGGTACTGGGGGCTTCGAGGCCGGCGCTGTTCTGTAAATCAAGACTTTTGCTCCTGTCTTTAAATGATGGAGTTACCTTGTCGAGCAGCAGAGGCAGCGACCCAGGGATGGCCGTCCTCTGCCGTCCCCTCTTTCCCACACCTCCCATCCTCCATATTGACTCGTTGCTCTTCTTTGCAAACATTGTGCTTGGTCAGATTTCCTTCTCGAGGTGGTTTTCTCATCTTCCTTTGATGACCTGAAATTTTCCCAGGCTCGTAGCATGCCATGTTCTTAGTGTAAACGAACCGTTTCTCAAGCGCCTGTCCATGAAAACTGGTGCCAGAGCTGAGCTCCTGTGCTAACATGGCCATCTGAACCAAGAACGCAGTCCAGATGCCCAAAATATTGGGGTCAGCGGTGCATCTGGATCCCCCTAGAGCTAGACGAGGCGACGCAGCTTATTTCTGAAACGCAGAGATTTGCGAGGAATGTGATGCTGGTATGTCACTCGAGTATATGAAATCCACCTGTGTTTGATTAAGGTGCAGTCTGGCTTTCGGGACTAACTGGATGTTCTTTCAAAATATTTTTCACAAGCCTTAAATTCCTGTTTGGGGATGCTAGATTTGCTAGATCGCTAGCCAGATAAAAACTTGCTGCCTTAGTGTGAGCTGGTGGGCGTGCTGGCCAGGTAGGATGTGCAGAGGAGTTCCCGGCGGTGCAGAAGATGGCACATGTCCCGTGGCACCGTGGGGTTCCTGAGCGTAGATCTCTTGGATGTGGGGAATGCCAGATCCTAGGGTCCTGTAAAACCACCGGTGTTGGGAAATTGGCTGTTGTTTCAGCATTGCACCAGCTGTATAAGTGATGCCAAATGCCAGATGTAAAGTTTTGGGATATTCTGTAACTGTTATTTTTAGAGGGTGCCTAGTTTGAGCTCTGTTCTGTGCTCTCTGAAGTCAGTGAGAGCTTTGCCATTGATACTGCTGAAAAAAGAAGCGCTAGGTGCAGAGCAAAAGCAGTGGTTTGTAATCTTAGAGTATTTATTTTACAGTGATACTCACTTATTTTTTTCTCATCTTTTTCAGCCAAACACCCTTGTTCACCTTGGAGGTACAAATATTGGTGAGCTGAGATTTGAGCTCGTTCCCCTCTGTCCCTGTGCAAGCAAGGACTGGCAAAATGAATATCCAGGGGAAAGGCTTTCCCTTGGACCTTGGAGGAAGCTTCACTGAAGATGCTCCGAGGCCACCGGTTCCTGGTGAGGAGGGGGAACTCGTGTCCACGGATCCAAGGCCAGTTACCCACGGTTTCTACTCTGGTAAAGGTGATGTGGTTCGAAATGAGACGTCCACGGCAACGCCGAGGCGCTCCGATTTGGATTTGGGGTACGAGCCCGAGGGGAGTGCTTCGCCAACTCCACCCTACCTGAAGTGGGCCGAGTCGCTGCACTCCTTGCTGGATGATCAAGACGGTATCAACCTCTTCAGGACTTTCCTGAAACAGGAGGACTGCGCAGATCTGCTGGACTTCTGGTTTGCATGCAGCGGCTTCCGGAAGCTGGAGCCGTGCGCGGCTAACGAGGAAAAAAGACTCAAGCTGGCAAAAGCCATTTACAAAAAATACATCCTCGACAACAATGGCATTGTGTCCCGGCAGATCAAACCTGCCACAAAAAGCTTCATCAAAGACTGCGTCATGAAACTGCAGATTGACCCCGACATGTTTGACCAGGCCCAAACGGAGATCCAGTGCATGATAGAAGACAATACCTACCCTTTGTTCCTTAAGTCGGATATTTATTTGGAATACACGAGGACAGGTGGGGAAAGTCCCAAAATTTACAGCGATCCGAGCTCAGGGTCTGGGACAGGTAAAGGGCTCCCCGGTTATCTGCCGACTCTGAACGAGGATGAGGAGTGGAAGTGTGACCAAGAGGCCGAGCCCGAGGCCAGCCGGGACTCGGCACCTTCCACCAGGCTCACGCAGAAGCTGCTCCTGGAGACGGCCAGCCAGCGCGCCGCCTCGGCCCGACGCTACAGCGAGGGCAGGGAGTTCAGGTAGGCGAGCGCCGGGGCAGCGGTGCCTCTGGGGAACGGGTCGGGGAGCCACCGCAGGTGTGGGGTGACAGAGAGGCTGGGGGGGCCTTGGGCGGTGGGGAGCATCCACATCGGTACGGGATAGTGTCGTGCGGGTGCTTTGGTGGAATGCAAAGCTTGATTTGAAAGACGTCGTGGGTAATTTTAAGGGTTTCTTTGGCTGTTGCTGTCTGATTGCCCCAAATCATCCCTGCAGCATGTTCCCTCCCCAGGGAAGCTGCTGCTGGCCATGGCTGGGAGGCAGGTGGGGCTTGGTGGGCAGCGCAGAGCCCTGGGCAGCCCTCGTGCATGTGCAGGGCATCGAGTGAGTTGCGGTTTCAGGCTGGCCGTCACCCACACCAGCAGAAGGTCGGTATTCAGTTACAGGAACGCAGGAGAGTGCAGCTCGTGGTAAAACTTCTCTCTGTAAATATATGAGGAAATCGTGATGAGCCACAGCGAGAGTCTGCAGGAAGCTTGCAGGAGATACCCTCACCTGTGTGATGTTCATGTGGGTCAAACGGGGTTCACTGTGCGCCCTGGTAATGGTACTGCTTTGCACACGAGATTCCCAACACTGAATTCTAGTGGTGTTGAAGTCAGAATGGCAGAATCCAGATAAAACCGTTCCCTTTTGCAGCTTTTCCCTTCATCAAAGTAATTGCTGTTTTTTTTAATGGGAGGAGTTGCACAGCTTTGCAGCCTGTTTTTTTTTCTTTTTTCTGAGTCCCCCACCCACTTCCAGCCAACATGGATTTTGAAACTTGCTGAGAGCTCAGTTAAAATTCCAGACAATTAACTTAGCAGGCTGCTCTCTGGGATCAATAAGCGTGTGTGTGTCTAACCCTTGCTGAATCAACAGAACCCAGCCAGAACACATTCCTACCTTTTTTTTTTTTTTTTTTAAATAAAATCTTCTTGTTTTAAGACCTGCTTAGGCTAAAATCTGACGCTTTGTGAAGATTACGAAATGAAGTAGCTGAACTGTCCTCTTCAAAGCCGCCTGCCTTATGAAAAGCATTTCTGTGTTTAATCTCCCTCGGCCGTCCCTTTAGGCTGGCAGCTGGAATCGCATCCCGCCCCATGTAAGGTCTCGATGCCTTTCAGCTGGTGAAATGTTTTGGGTTTGAATCTTGTTTTCTTACAGATTTTGGGGAGGGGGATATTGCATGTGAAACTGTTGGGAGCGAAAAAAAGAAGGGGAATTCTTGCCGACTCCTGCTGTTTTAATCAGGAGTTGGAAAAACAAAATCCCAGAGTCTTGGGACTTTCCCGTGGAGTTAATAAAAACCTTGAAGTGCCTTTTCATTGAGTGGTCAGGTACTCGCCATAAGTGAAGGATTAGAAAAGCCTATGATTTAAGTAACTTTTTAGTTAAGCAATAATGGCTTTAAGGTTTAAAATAACTTACTCGAGGTTCATTTGTGTTTAGTTTGCTTCCTGGAGCAGGTAGCAAAAACCTGCACGCAGCACTGCGCTTCTCAGCTCCAGCTTCAGAAAAAAAAGCCCTTTACCCATTATCTGAATAGATCTGTGCCGGATTTTAAAGTGGTTTAAGAAATGTGCTGTGAAATAGAAGCGTTTTGGAGTAGAGTTCCTTGGGCATTTTCATACCAGATTGGAATAACATGCAATAAATCTTTACCTTGGGGATGGAGGTCAGAAAAAATGTATTGCTATTAATTTGCAGCATCCAACAGCCTGTCATTGTGGGTGCTGACGCTCCGTTGACCTGTCGGGTAGGGAGGCACGGAAATGTTCACCACTCTCACCCGTGGAGGAGTCATTTCTCAGCCTGGAGTAACTGAAGATAGATGATTTATTTTATTTGTTAAATGCTGGTATGTCAGCTCTAGCAGCGTCCAGGGCATTGCGATGGAAGATGCTGCCGAGCTGCGTAATCTCTGCATTTTTTATTCTAAAAAATCTGCTGACATACTAATTTATGAGGTGATTGTTCCTCTTTGTGCAAGACCTTGTGGTTGAATTAACTTACTTCCTGGATGTTGTATAGCAATAACTGTCTTGAATAAGCTGGTTTTTAAACCATAGCATCTTTGTCCTGCAGACTTTTTTGCTCATTTGCTTTCTCACCTGAGTAAGAGCTCTGGCAGTCCATGGCTGCTTGCAGCAGGAAGCGATAACTGCATGCAGCATTGGAGAGGCTGGATCCCAATTTATTTTGAAAATTTCCACAAACCTTTTTTTTTGTGTGTGTGTATTTGTGGAAGAATTTCTCATTTCTGTTCTGGAGGGAATGTTGAAATAAGCTGTTTTGCATTACATCTGAGGGCCTGTTTAATCTTCCCAAGATTGAACTTCTATTCCTTGGCTTCCATGGAAACCCTAAATAAAGAGGAGTCTTAGCACATGCAATAGAGGTATATCTCTGTTAGCAAGTGAGCATCTTGAATCAGCTCCAAATTTTTTGCAGCAGAAACCTCCTAAATCTTGATGCAGTAGCTTTGCTCTCAGGAGGGCAAATGTAAAAAATTCCTCGACCGGTAGAAGACAGACAGCCCCTTATTAGTGTTGGATATTTTGAAGGTGTGCAAATGTGCATGCGTGCGGGAGAATATCCCGAAGCCAAAAGCATCGCCGTTACCCACTGTGTTTTTGTATGTGTAGGAAAAGGCCAATAGTCATTATAGTTAGGCTCTTGCAAATTAATTGGACATTGGTTATGGATCAGTGAACTTCAAAGAGGGTAACCCCCGAAGATCTCCGGCATTAACTTGCAGCTTCCGAAAGTGACACTAACGTGGTTGTGAGGGCGGCTAAATCATTCATTAACCTTCTTCTGACATGCTGGGATGGCGTTCCTCGGATCCAAAGAGCAGAAGTTAAACCTGTGCTGGAGAACCGCCCTGCAGCCTGGTTTTTGAGCGCTCCAATAAAACACACATGTCTTCAAAAGCTGGAAATGTGGTGTTTGGTGGTGAACGGTGGCCGTTGGGTCATTTGTCGGGGTGGGTTTCTTCTGCTGTCTCTTTAGCTGTGGATCAGAAGGGTTCCCCTCCCACTCCCAGAGCGTTGGGGAGCAGTGCTCACGGGCGTTGCTTTTGCTTTCTCCCGGTGGTGGAAAGCGAGAAGAGCGTACGGTGTGGCGTGTGATCAGCTCTGCCTTTGGCTCTTCTGAAGGACCAGCAAGCTGGCAGATGTCGGTTGGTTCTGCCAGTTGTTCTGGGTTTTGAGCCGTGTCTTTAAGTGCACAGTGTGTTGAAAAGGAGACCTGGAGGACAGTGATGGGAGGACATGTGGTGGTAGATGAGGTCTCCAGTTGCTGGACATCAGGGAATGTTGTGGTGGAGCTGAGCGGCACAGATGGAGAAATTTCCCAACAGGGGCTTTGATGTACGTGTGGTTTGTTGTTTTTTTTTTTTTTTTAAAGGAAGCTGGCTACACGATCTAAACTTTGATTTCCAGAGTGCTGAGCTGACTGAGCCCATGGCATTTCACAGGGGGTGGTGGTTCTCCACTGAGGCTGGTAGAAATCACCAGGAGGGTCTTTGGGCTTGTGCCCCCGTGCTGGCAGCCTCTCTGGACACAGGTGAGGGCAGGTCTCCCCAGCACCCACAGTCAGTGTTCCTTCAAAGCAGAGAAAACATGTGCAGAAACAACGGAAGGAGCTTTTAGGGGGATGTGCCAGCCTCTGGTCGGCAATGGTGCCAGGAGGAGCTGCGACGTGGAGAGGAGTGGCGCAGGCTGGTTCAGGGTCTCTCCAGTGCTCAGGCAGCACAAACGGTCCAGCGGTCGGAAGCTGGGCCTATGTCTTGTAGAAGCTAAAATTTAGCTGGCAGACCTAATTTTGAGGTTTGCTGCTTCATTCATAATGCTAAAATGCACGCTTCTGACCCAAGACGGTGTGGTGGAGGAGTTGGTGTTAATTGTACCAAATGGGTGGAAAACTGGGGATGCAAAATTGCAATCGGTGATGCAGGAGCGGTCGGTGTTGGGGAAGTTCAAGGCATGTGTTAGTCTCACTCATGCTGCTTTTAACGGGAGAAGCAGCATGTGCATCTTGGAGCCAGGCTGCTGGAGCTTCATGAGAGGTTGGCTGCTGGGAAAAAGCGACTCCTGAGTCTCATACTTGTATATAAAGGCAGAAAGAAAAGTTTTGGACGCATAGCTTGACTTAGCTGGAATTAAAATTGCTGGGCCCGTACCACCACTCGTAATTGACACAACCCTATGTGGAGTCTGTGGCTGTTTCCAAAATTTAAAGAAATGAGTTATAGAAGAATAGCTCTGGTTGTGCATTGTTCTTGAGAGAAGTGAGTCTAACAGGGAGGTGGGGTCCGATGCTAATAGCACTAAGGGGTGATTTAGTGGCTCCGGCGCTGTAAGATATACAAGACAAAGACTGATGGCAGTTTTGCACAGAAGTTACGCCAGCTTTTTTAAATATATTGTTAAGCTGATGAAACTTCTGTGTGGAAATGCTTATGTTAACAGTGTAAAGTATTTATACTGGCGGTTGCCAAGTTTTAAAATGGATTTTATTTGAAGAAGAATACCTTTTGTGCCCATAGCTTTGCCTCTACACAAATCAAGATGACGAAGTGGTGTATTTGTTGTCTGGTTGTGGATCAGTGCTTTGGCTTCTTTTTAAAGACAGGTAGTTAAGCTTTTAGCACTCTCTTGTGATGAATGAATAGCGTTTTCTCCCCTCCTCCAGCAAACAGCTCCCTTATTTTGTTGTGATTGAGTTTTACTTGGGGTACAGAAGCTTTTCTCTTAAAAGAACAAAAGAGGAGTTATATCCACCTCTTGTTGGTGCTGGAGAGGTTCAGATTGGACCTTGGGAGAAATAAATCTTCACAAGGAGTGTGATGCAGCCCAGGAGCGGGTCACCAGAGAGAAGAGGATCTCCATCCTTGGAGGGCTTTATGCTGGGTTGGACAGAGCCATGGCCCGTCCGGTCCAGTGTTGGCGGTGGGCTTGTTTTGATGGGCACGTACAATGATGGCACAAATCATGAG